TTCCTGTATACTAGCTAAGATGTAGTCTTAATGAAATAGTGAAATAAATAAACAGCAAGCAACCAACTTCAAAATTATTAAGGAATGTTATTCATTTGCAAGCCAAGAAGGTAATACTCTTGAGCAAAACATTCACATATGGCTAACTGTTCCAGAACAGAACATTACTTTGCTCACTCTCATTTCTTCCTTCACTGCTAATATACCTATGGCTTAATTGTCAAGAGACACGAGGTCCTTGAAACACAATGATCCCTACCACTGGTAGCACATCAGCAAATTATGGCTTCTCTGCCATAGCTACGTGTACTGACTGCATGTTTGCCAACAATGCACTCACATACTTTACAAAGATGACATACTCCAGGTCTGACAACTACCCAGGGGTGTTAGAGCCCAAGGAATCCTTTTTTCCCAAAAGAAAAAAATTATTATGCAGATTCTAATTATCAGTGGTATCAGTGGATAAACAGCATTTTAAAGAAGACTGCATGTACCATCTCTTTGGATTTTGGTAAAATCACGTAATTGATTTGAGACATGCATGTCTCTTTAATATACAAACATGTAAATCAATTAGTTGAATATGAATAAAAAAGAGAAAAGCAACACATAGTGTAATAGCTCTGTGGTAAACAAGTGGAGGATTTTTTTAAATGGCAAAGAGAAGTTTAACCTCTTCAGGCAGCTCTTCAGCAGCACAAGTCAAAATGCACAATCTGAAAAGGGCAGTAACGTTTATCCTCCTTGGTCACTGATTGCTAGTAGCTCACCCTGCTTTATAGAGCAGCCAGTCACAAGATCAACACAGCTGCTCCTGCTGAAATTCATCTGGATGTTCAGAAGCACCTCCCAGCATTCTCTCACCCTGCATTAAGCAAACGAGACACTTCTTCCAAATACACCATGGAGAACAGCCTCCCTCACACTCCAAATTAAATGGAAAGCTGTCACTAGCTGCAGTGCACTGGAGTCTGCAAGGGTGTGGGTGGATTTTTTTCCACCCTCTTGTCTTACCTTGGGGAATTAGGAGAGAAACAGATGCATCCTGACTGCATCCTGCTATTGCAATTACTGTTTGCAGAGATGGTGAGGAAACTCATCCTGTCATCCCATAGGAAGGCTGGAGGAAGGGGACACTATCAGTATGGTATAGCAGACCAAGCTCTCCTGGGCCACTGCTACAAAGGTTAGAGTCATTTTCAGCTTAAAGGCAAAAAGCTATCATCCACAGCTAAGCTGTCTGCAATTAAATCATCACTCTCAGAAGATAAACTCAAAAAGAATAAAAAAAAGCAACCACAGTCTACTTTGATTTCTGTTCTTCTCGTCTCAAAGGTCCTTGAATTCTCCGGAACAGCAAAACAATGCAAATTCTCATTTCAGAAATGCCCTGGAGCCATCACGAAGGATGAGAAAATTTGTAAGGGGGCTGTAAAAGAACAGTGTTGAAAGAAGACTTGCTGCAGGGGAACTGCTCTTGGAAAGAAAAGCAACTGGAGCAGTCCCGGGTACTTTGAAGACTTCCAGAAGGAAGTTAGAAGAGAAAAGGGGAGTGGTTCATAACAGCACTGCACAAACTGGGGGGAACTATCAGGAGCTGAACCTCGGAGACTCACACATCACTGATTTTTACCACCTCTCCTATTTCAGCATTTGTTTTTTCACCATGTTCTTCATTTACATAACTAGTCAATCTGTATCAACATCTGGTAGATAAATTAAATGATACAGCTAAGGTCATCACTGCAATTACCTATCGCCAATTTCGTTTGACCATTAAACAACAATTATGTCATTTAATATCGACGGTTCGTTATGTAACTTTAAGTAAGCATAACTTTAAATGAAGAGTGAAATCGCCAAACTTGAGTCAGCAATAGATGCTTCATTAAAACCAACAAAATTGCTACGTTGTTGAAATAATAAAGAGAAGCAGTCCAGAGAAAGCATTTCAGCTTCTTAAAAGGAAAAGCTTATGTTGAAAGAACAATCAGTTACAAATTTCCGAAACACACACTAATTTTCAAATGAAGTACTTTACAATTATTAAAAGTATCCTTCTTTCAGCACATGAGCATGAAGAGAATCTGAGAAACCTTCCTTTGTGGGTAGGTTATTTTATAATTTCTTCCTGCAGACTCTTCTCTGCTGCAGTCCGTACCGGAGACAGGATACAGGACTGCTGGACTGACAACCCGATCAGATACAGCAATTTACCTTCATTTTAACAAACATCCAAACCCCTAAAAACTAAGATGAGGAAAATAAGTTTGAAGCTTGGAATTCATCCATTTCAGCAAAATGTGCTGTGGCAATTTGCAGGTGTGTGGGGTGGATATGTGAAGAATAAAACTAACGTTACTTCTCCTTTTACAAAAAGTCTTGTCTTGCTCCTAGTTGCGTCTTCCTCATTCACTTACAAAAAAAAATTAAGCTTTCAGCAATTTGGAAGAATTTAAATTAGACACAAAGATTCCCTACCAAATTACAATACACTGGAATCAATTAAAATGTGGTGAATTTACAGAAAGCCAGCACATCTGTCAGTACCTGGGATGTACAGAAAGCTCCATCTCATCGCTCAATTGCTCCCTACAGGCTAAGTGTAAGGGCTGGAAAATGGAAATAAACATTCTTGACAGCGTTGATGTCGTCAGTCTCACTTTTTGCATTTACCTGGATTGTACAATTCATGTTTTCTACCAAATTTTTAAAATGCATACATACTAAGCTCCTTACTAGCTTCTTCACATGAATAAGAAGCAAAATTTGGATCCTACAGTGGGGAAAAATAATAGGATCTAATGAGTATGCAATACAAAATCGACTTTAATAATATCTTTTCAGATAAAGTATTACTGAACAGTCTGAAAAGACTTGAAACATCCCATTATTACCGTTTTGACCTGAGGCAAAGAAAAGCACTGAAAACACATCAAGGCTTCCATTCAAGACTAAACGGGTTATGCTTGTATTATGCAATTTATATGAGAGTTAGGCAATGATGAATATACCCAATTCAAAAATAAAATAAAATAAAATGGTAGGTTATTCAGTCGCACTTTTTTCAAAGCTTTATCCTATGTGGCAGTGCACAAAGAATCAGTTTGTTTAACCTGTTTTGTACACATGTACAAACACCTAAGTTTAGTAATAAGAACACCTATTACACATACTATGCTAAAATCAGTGTTGCTTCCATGCTAACGAGCATTTGGTCCCAGCTCAAAAAAAAAAAAAAAATGATTAGCCACAAAGAATTATTGCCCCACTGGACATTACTTTCTCTTCAAAACAGAAGAAAAAAAAAAAAGAGAGAAAATCTGCCTAAACATGTCCCTTCTTTGTGCAATCAGCAATGAGAATGTCTTCAAATCTTGACATCCAGGTGATACTTACAGTGATAAAATCTCAGTTAAACTAAATGCAACCTGACTTCAACAGTCACACATCATTTGAACTGTTGACCTGAACCCACCAGGAGACTTTTTCCCCTCGCGTAGAGCTACCTCTTGACTTCTTGATTATTCCAGACTGCTGTAGCTGAAATACCAGAAAGAAATCCCAGAAGAAAAGCAGTTTCAACAGGACTTCAGGTCTCACCAGCAACAGTATCAGAGATAACATGTTATCTCTGGATCAAAGTGAGCTACAGTTGGAGTGCGGTTCAATTAACAGGCAACTCTCTTTGAGGATCTACCTGTATTAAAGAGATGTCAGCATGCACAACTGCTATTTGTCCTGAATCCTTTAAACCCCTCACTTCCAGAGCAGAATAATAAAAGAGGCAAACTGGGCAATATAATATAATTAAATAGCAAGTCAACACTTGCCTGCTTTTGCATTTTGTTAGGCTGAACTTACATGTCTCCTACTCCTTCTTGATATACAGAGCTGTCTTTCAGTTAATTTTTAAACAAATTGCTGCCATAGTGTTAACACTACAAGGAAAAAACATTCACACTTTCATTCCACTTCATCATATTGTGTTTCTAAAATAGCTTGGGTATACTTTTACATCAGGGCACTGCAGAGATACACGAGTTAGCTTGAAATATACCAGTTTATCTACTGAAAACAGTCTAATTATGCCAGTACAGACTTAAGCAGAAGATAATTTAAGCTATTTTTCACCATAGTAAATAAGCCTGCACTGAATGCTAGGCTTGAAGGCCTCAGTACTAAAGCTGGCTTGTCGAAAAGCCAGTTTATGTACTTGCACCATACAGACATAACCTCCTCCTTGAATGCAGCATATTGATTGATATTTCTTTCAGAGAAATAGCTTAATTTTTATTATATCCTCTATTACTTATTAACAGGACCATTAAAAGGAAATAGTTAGCTATTAAATGGTCTGCCAAGCAGCCTATACTAGAGCGTAGATTGACCTACTGTATCCCATAGATGTGCTTCTGTTACTAAAATCCAAAGCTGCTAAAAAATCTTAAAAAACAAATGGAAAAACCCAACACAAAAGCCCACCAGGGAGGCACATCTGAAGTCATAATAAGTGTGCAATTTCAGTATTCAAAATGACATCATGACAGCTGCCATGCGTTCTGAGCATTGAGTGCTTTAAAAATAAAGCAGTGGCAATGCAGTTTGTCAAATTGCTTCCATTGGCTTTCTACCACCCAAAAGTCAACATTAACAGCAGTTTGGTTTGATTTTTCATCTGCCTTTTGTAAAACAGTGAAAAGATTCACCATTTCTTTTTTCTTTTTCTTTTTCCATTTCTATTGCAGTCTTTAAGTAAGTTTGCAACAATGCAGCAAAATCACTCAGTAAATACAGCGCACATTCCAACCACGCTGATAAATTAATTTTTCCACTCGATGTTTGAAATAAATCATTATGCCTTACACACTTGTTTGCAGAAAATTTAATCTCAATAAAATCACAGCTTCTCGCTTTAAATCGATTTTGGTTCACTACTTCTTGAAATCTTTGTCTTAACAATTCTCTGACAGCAACAACTGGTAGAGGTGTCTTACCTAAAGACTGGTAGAGCTCAGTCATCTTAGGATGATCCCAGCAGGTTGTCTGCGTCTCATGGCTACAATAAAAAACATAAAAGTTAATAAAATGGAATTTCTCTTTCTGTTTCCTTGCACAGTGTGCATCCCAGTGCTCTGCCAGAACACTGCCAGCAGCCTGAGCTCTTGCAGGAGGGAATCTAACTAGCAGCAGGCATGTCTTCTTTCAACCAGATGTCCATCTGGACTGCTGTATTGAAGCATAGGCTCAGGAAGCAAAATTAAAAGTTCTGCTAATATTACAAATACAGTGAGCATTCAGACAATGTAGTGTTCTGGGCTGTCTCCCTTATCCTAGGGTCTCTGTGAATTTTCAAGAGGCAGAGCTTTATGGAAGCCAGGAAAAACCCAAATGGGGTTACAAAACCCTGCCCTATGACTAGAATGTAAATGGGACCATCTTCTGCACAGAAGCTCACAGCCTTCAGCTTTGCAGCAGACTGCTGCCAGAAGACATGCAGTGTGAGAGAGCCAAGTACGTGAAGTGTTAGTGAGTGCAGTAGCAACTCACGTCTCCCAAGGCTACACATTTTAAGATTTTTTTTAATGACAGCGTAGCTAATGTGATCTCGTTTCCATTAACATGGGAAACTTGAAAGAAAACTCTCCTTATCTATTCTAGAGCCAGTGAAGTCTTGGTCACACAGAATTCAGCTCTGCTGAAAGACAACCCATGAACTACACTTAAAGAAAATTCTGAAATGTACGATTGCTAGCAACCACATTTGCAGTTCCTGTACTTAAAGAACAGATATCCTGGGTCCAATGTGCATATAGCGTTGGGAAGAAAAGGCACAGAAGAGTGAGGTCTGATCCGCAGTGCTTTGTTGTTCTGGAAGCACACACCTTTCAGCTCCAAACTGTGACCCAGCAAGCAAACTGAGTGCCCCTGTACAGCAAACAGTGCATGTAAAGCCGATGTAACAGAGAGCAGGGAGGCAAATGGTGATCCCAAGCGCACCTCCACAGGCACGCCTTAGGGGTGCAGCTCTCCATGCAACGCTTCAGCACCACCACTGCTGCAGGGAAAGAGAATAGTGAAGTGTTTTCTTAGCAGGATTTCATTTTGGCCTTAGAAGACAGGCTATTTACTTGATCCATGTGAATACTTCACTGGCCCAGCAACGTCTGTGTACTCACTAGCTTACTGTATATATCTATACAGTACACACTGTATATAATTACAAGGAAGAACGAAAGGAGTAACCATAAGCAAAAATGCAGGAATGGCATCTGAGCTGAGCACAAGATGTTAAAGGAGCCTCAACTCATCAGCCTCAGCATCCCCCTCCTTCCTAATTCCTGCAGTGGCTGAAGGTAATAAGAAAAGGGAGAGGACATCAGAGCTGTAGCAGCCATCCTGGTCTTTGCTCTGGGAAAATATGAATGCTGCAAAGAGAGGTGGCTGCAATCACCTTCAACTATCTAAGCTTTGAGTTCGGTGACCATAGACACAGAGTCGCTTACAAGAGAACACAGCACCCAAGTTCCCAAATTTTCTAAGATGTCTGGCACAAGGGAGTTCTGCACTACAGGAGCTTACTGTGCATTCTGCACAGGAAAATGCATTTTTTAAGAAAACGCTTCATTTACACACTGAATCCCCCCCAAAATTTGGTTACCATTTGCCCCCTCCTTGCACAATAGCAGCTCAATGAAAAAGAACAAGGGAACATATTCATTGCCAAATTACTCTGTTGACAGAGAGACCTAACGATTCAGGTAAGCGGGCAGCAGCAGCAGACCGGGCCAGACAGTCGGGCCTGCAGAGCTGTGCCTGCTGTTTGCTAGTCCTCAGTGTTCGTTCCAGACCAGTGGTTCCCTGGCAGCAGCCTGGCAGGCCCAGCCGGGGAGCGGCGCAGGACTGAGCTCAGCGCTGCACACAGGCACTTCTTGTGTCAGCACAGGGTAACAACCGAGGGACTTTGGGGATGGTGGTTTTCCACACCTCCGTTTTATCTCAAATGCCATGCGCAGTGCTTCTGAGGTATCCCAGTAGCAAGTGTATCCTTGGCTTCTGTGCCAAAGCATGTAGCAAAGAGCAGAGTAAGAACTTAGGTATGCAGTCGCAATAAAGCTCTGAAACTAATTGCCTAATCTTCCCTGTGCATTTAGTTTGGCAGCTCCAGATTGTTCTGTGGATGAACTAGGCCATTTGGGGATCCACAGCTTTTGGTCTGGGAGCTTTCAAAGGCACTGAATCCCAATTACAGTATTTTAAAGCCACTGAGCACGTGGCAATGATGTACCTACACAGCACCCGGAATCTTACTGCCTGTGTTGAATAGAAGAACAAGGGAATCATTTAAAATTCAGAAAACTGTTATGGTTAATCACTCATCAAGACCATGCGGACAATTATTTTTTTTTGGTATTTTTGTTTTTATGATAAAGCTTAATCAGATATCAGTGAATTTAATGTGCACAGTGTAAGATTATGTCACCTATTAACCATCCAGAAAATACATAACCAATCTTCCTAAGACACTGTAAATAAAATTTCCATTGCCAAAGAAATGTTGGACTGTTTTCATACATTTTTACTGCCAGATACCTCAAATGACTACACAGAATGCTCTTACATCATGGCTGCCTAAAATAATTTGCCCAGGGATGCCCATTTTGCAATGAACGGTTTCACTCACTTCACCCACACGTTCCAAGGGCTGAGCTGGTGGGGTGGGTGTCTTTCTCTAGAGCTCCCTCCCTTCATCCTGGTGCTCTTCCCAAAAAAGAACTGAGGCCTGATGCTGGAGCAGGTGAGGAGGCAGGGCAATGCCCCAGACACACGGGAAACAAGAGGGCTGCAGCTACTTCGTTCCCACAAGAAGCAGTAGGAAGCTGAGACTGCAGTTCACCTGCTCTCTGCAAGCCTCTCCACTGCTTCCAAAGGCCATCTGACCACGAGCTGGGGGCCGGGCAGGGGGAGACTCTGCCTTCCTGAAGGGAAGCGCCAACTCAGCAGTTCCCGCAGTCTCCACCAAGCCTGGGAACGCTGTAGCATCCTTAATAGAGCTGCAGCACAAGGTCTGCCAGAGTTTCAAACTCCAGTGAGCAGAGCCCTTTGCAGCCTGCGAGTCAGAAGGATGCAGAGGGACAGCGGAAGCATGAGACCTCTGACCAGCAGCAGCTGGAGCCTGGTGAGACGTGCCCAAGTAAGGGCTCATGGGGCTTGTTTTCCTTTTCCTAAACCTGCCTTGCAAAGTTGTTGCAAAGGTGAAAAGGAAATTAAAAGTGGGCCTGAAAATGAGAGGAACACGCTGGATAATGGTGACACCTAGGTGCTGGTGTGACTAGCACACTAAATACACCAATAAGTCAGGGGGATGAAAGCACAGTCCTCACTTAACACATCCTTTGGGAGCAGCAGGGCCACTTCATTAAAGGATAATTACATCATATTAGCAAGGATAATTTTTACGTGGGCAATTCTGTCACACTGTGCCTATGTAACCTCTCTGTTCTTGTAAAAAGCACAGACATTCACCTCTCGTCACTGTTGGAAGAGCTAACAGCACACAGGACTGCAAACCTGAAACTGAGAGATGATAGTCCAAACAGCACACAAATTGAATTATAGTTCTCTTGCTACAACTTCATGAGTTTAGATAAAACATGGTTATTTTCTCTTCCCACTGAGCAACACCAGCAGCGGGGGGAGCAGAGAACAATGTTGCACAATCGCTAAAACATCCTCACACAGGTTGTAGCCATTCAAGATCTCTTTAACTCATCCTGATTGCACCCTATTTTTTTTGCATATATGTAAGATTCAGGTACTCTTGTGTATTCATTGCGAAGTTCCAGAGTCCAGAACTTCAGACTGAACTGCGCAGCCCTTTCTAAACTCCTGCTGTGCTTCTTCTGTTTCTCACATATTTATTTGAAAGCAGAACATAAACAAGATATGCAAGTATGCAGATGTGCACAGAATAAGAAGTTTCATCAGGTGGCAATAAACAGATACTTACATACACTTAATAACAAGCTGCTTATTAAGTACTGTCTTATAAAGCAATGAATAATCCAGTCTCAAACACTGCAGTCTGTAATACCTCTCACCTTTTGGCTTTAAGATGAATAAAAGGTTATTACAACCACCGTATGACTGCTGTCAAAAAGCCAAAATAAACACGATACAGTTGCTTGGCTTTCACTAACCTAACATAAATGCGTTTCAAAGTGTTTGCATGCACAGACACTGCTGCTCATTGAAAATCAGAAATGTTTTCAGCAGCAGATGACAGCGATTGCCAGAAGACTTAACAGCTGTCTTTTTTTACAGGGTTTCATTAATTCCCTGGCTACAGCACGGCACTGCGATGGAAAGTATTAGCGGTGCGAGAAGGTGGCACTCCTATGTGCCGTACAAAGGACTACTGTTTTCATCTATAAATCCAGAGACTACTGATCTGCGCACGGAGATTATTCCCATTTAAGCCAAGGATCAGGCATCTTTCCAGGAAGAATTTGACTGCAGCATGTTTTATTGGCTTTTGCCAGATTTATCGCGCTGCTGAAGGGAAGCACCGATACATATTTAAGTTTCTCACTGACACTGGAAACGAGCAGTCAGAGAAAGGCAAATACCAACTGCCGAGAACTGTAAAGTAACTCTTTTTCACCGCTCGCTATGTTAAACATTTATTTTACATGTTACATCTCGGGCAAAGATGACGGCTTGGCAGCGGGGCTCTGCCCTACAGCTGCTACCTGCCCACCTAGCTATTCACTCGGCAAAGCCCAGCCGCTCTGCTCCTACCAAAGCCACCTCACTGCGGGACATCAGACCCCACAGCCACGCACCTGTGGGCTCTGAGCAGGGACACGGCGAGGTAAGGGTCAAAGAATCAGACGACAGAATCGTTGAGGTCGGAAAATACCATTAAGATCACCTAGTGCGCTGCCCCAAGGAACCCCTCCCGGCCCTGCCCAGTCATGGGAAAGGTGACTGCTAACACGAAAGGACTCCATGAAAGTAGTACCCGTTGAAGTGTTCTAGGGAAGTTCGCTCCCGCAC